CCCAGGAGAGGGTACTGTGATCACTCCCACGCTGCAGATAAAGACACTGACTCAGAGAACTTTTCCTCTGTATGCCAGCTCTTTTCAAGCCCTTCCTTTCCTCCTAAGAAATGCCCCACAAGCTAGCAATTGTGTTTCCATCACTAGCATACAAGCCCTGGCCCCCACCCCCTCTTGTTCGTATCAAATAGCCAATTGATTAACCAGTTAACCAATCAATTAAGCAGCTTCCTTTAGCCCCTCAGCCTACACCCTCTCCTTTCCATCCATCCTTCCTCCAGCTGTTAGATGTATATTCTTAAAACACAGCTGTCACTTGTCATGCTTACCTGCTCAGGATCCCATAGAGCATCCTGGTGGCACAGGCTCTAGACGAGAGACTCTTAAATGTTATCGTGCACCTGAATCACCTGGGGATTTGTTAAAATGCAGATTCTCTGCTCATTTAATCTCACAATGATCTTAATAGTCCATTTTACAGATGAACAAACTGACGTTCAGAGAGGTTGCCCAAGGTCTGGAATGGGGCCCAAGATTTTACATTTGTAATAAGATCCCAGATGTTACAGATGTTGTTGGTTTGTAAACCATACTGAGTAGCAAGGCTCTTCCAGACCAAACTCCTGCCTAGTTATTTTTTCTTTAATTTTTAAATAGAAAATATATTTACATGATCTGAAAATTTTTAAAGGCATTCAGAGAAAAGACTCCCTCCCAGCCCTATCCTCCCTCATTTGCCAGGTCTCCCTGACTTCCACTCCCAGTAACCACTTTTATTAGTTTTTAGGGATCTTTCCAAAGCTTCTCCGTGCCAAAACAAGCAAGACCATACTATCCTGCCCGCCTCCTGCCCTTCACAAATGGAAGCATACTATGCACACAGTTTGTCATTTTATCTCGGAGATAGATACTGGATATAGTCGGCTGACTCGTTCATTTTTAGAGCCACATTGTTATTCTATTATGCGGATGTGCTATAATTTATTTAGCCAGTCACCTCTTGGTAAACATTTAATTGTTTCCAATTTTCTCGGCTGGCCTTTTGAAGCCCTCCACACCCTGGCCAATCTTGCTGTGACCTCCCTCCCACCCCAATTCACTGAGCCCCTGCAGAGGCTCCTCGTGCCCTCCCAACCCCTTCCGCCTACCCTGACTGCTCCCCTCTCTGAACCTCTGTCCCACTGTCAGTCTCCTCCTCCTCGTTAACCTCCCAGCTGCTCATCTCTCCATGGGTCTCTGCCTGTCTCCCCAAACAGACTATAACAACCTTGACTCCGGAATCATGTCTTTGATTTCTCTGGCTCCTCCACAGGCCAGAGATGGGCACACAGTGGTTCTCAAGAATATTAGTTACATAGTGGAAGCTGCATACAAATGGAGCTGCTTGATGGAGACTCTGCTAGGGCTGGTTCTGGGTGAAAGGGACCTCATGCCTCAAAGGACTCCAAGAAAGAAGCCCCTGTCTTGTGCCTGAATGTCTAGAACACTTGGGTGGGTTGTGAGGATGTCCAGGGTGTAATAGGACATCTGGGGCTCCCTTGTGCCCTTTCAGTGTGGACAGTGGGAAGAACCATGATGTGGAGACATGAGGGTGGAGGTATGGGTAGTATGGGTGTGTGTGCATGCCCTAGAATGGGCTCCTTCCCTTCTCTATCAACAGCCTTATCATCCTTTATGGGCCGGCTCAAGTCTCAACTCTTCCAAGAAGCCTTCCTGGACTACTCCAGCCCACAATGACCTCCTGTCCTCTAAATTCCTGCTGTGTGCATTAGCAACAGCAATCACTGTTCTGTACTTAGTCATCCATGGCTTTCCACCTTGAATCATACAAACCTTATCTTCCTGATGAGAAGCCAAGGTCTTCTATGGTAGAAATAAGACTAATAATTATCTTGTATCCCCACGTATTGCAAACCTCCAGCACAGCACTGGGCCATTGGGACTTACTCCACAAATACTTCTTGAATGAACAGGAATTGGTTCCAGGGGTGCCATGGTAGTGGTGGGTGGGGTGGGACAGAGTTGACCATAGGTGTGTCTTTGACCAAAAACACTTGGGGAACACAGGTGTTTTTTAAAATGCTCTCCCCCACCCCCCCATCTGTTCCTCATTCCCTCCCTGCCTGGTACCTGGAAAACAATGACCTCACAGCTACAAGTCCTGAAGGCCCGTCTCATCTGGTCCCTTGAAGCTGAAGTGAAGGGGACTTTTCTGAAAAGTCACCTTCATAAAAAACAAACAAAAGCAGGGGACTATTAAATTAAGAGATTAGGCTGGCCGGTTTGCTCAGTTTGTTAGAGCGTGTTGTTATAACACCAAGATCAAGGGTTTGGATCCCCGTACAAAGGCAATGGGTGAATCTTAACTAAAGTATGGATTGGGAGAAGAAAAAACCAAAATGATATACTGGGGGATAACTGGGAATTATTTAATATGGGGTGTATATCAGATGATAATAGCATATCGATATTAAAATTTCGAGCATGACAATTGTATTGTGGCATACAGGAGAATGTTCTTATTCTTAGACAAGGGATGTGGGGAGGTGAAGAGATGGATCATGATATCCACAACTTTCAACCTTCAGCAAAACGAAAAGGAAAAAGGAAATTGACCTGTGCGTGTGGAGGGAAAGAGAGAGAAAGCAAATTCGGCAACATGTTGGCAATCGATGAATCCAGAAGTGTATACAGGCGGTCATTGTGCTATTCTTTCAAGTTTTTGAAGGTTCGGAATGTTTCAGGATGAAAAGTTGAGGGGAAAATGCCTTTGGTATGGCATCTGGGGGGAAGAGGGGAAATGTGGTGGTGGGCCTGTCCCCAAGGAGCTCAGCTGAAACAGTGCTGTCTGCCACTTGATCACCACCCCCTAGCCGGCCTCCCTCACCACTGCCCAGAAACAGCAAACGTGACCCCTTGGCCCGACTCTCCCGCTCTAAGCATCTTCCACTCAGGGTCTCCCAGGTCCTCATCTGATGGGACCACCCCCCCTGGACAGCCACCCCTGATTTGGCTAGGATGGCACCCCAAACTCCCTAAGGGACCACTGCTCATCTCCCTGGAGAGTGAAGTGAATGAACCCCGAGGGGGTCCCACCCATCTCAGGTTTTTAAAAATTATGTTCACTTCACAGAAAAACAACAAAAAAGAATTTGATGTACACACAATGCCGAGACTTAGTCACCCTGCATTTCCTCTGGGGCCCTGTCAATGAGGATATTTTCCACCTTTGTCACCCCATTGGGACACTAGTTTGTATGATTTGCTCTCCCTCGCTTATTTTTTTCTTGGCATTTCCTCGTATTCATTGAAGCCTGGTGCCCCCCGCGGTTGAGGGCCTATAGGATGCTGTGACGGCCCGCTTTGGCCAGCCTTGTCCGTCGTGCTGGACACAGAGCTGTTTCCAACGTGCCCCCACGGACCTGGCCATGCGCTTTGGAAGCAGAGAACTAGCCGGGTCCCCCCCCTGCCCAGGGAGAAGAGGGGCGGAGGAGGCGGGCCGGGAGAGAACCTGGGGGCGGGGGTGGCTCTTCTCCCGGGCAGGGCGTGGGTCGGGCGAGGTCCCCAGCCCACCGGGGCCGTGCCAACAATGGCCTGTTGTGGAAGGAGGCAGGAAGGAATGCGGCCCGGGGAGTTGGGCGGCGGGGCGGCCGCGGGGCCGG